ACACAATGAGACGTTTGTGTAGTTACACAGTGAGACGTTTGTGTAGTTACACAGTGAGACGTTTGTGTAGTTACACCGTGAGACGTTTGTGTAGTTACACAGTGAGACGTTTGTGTAGTCACACAGTGAGACGTTTGTGTAGTTACAAAGTGAAACGTTTGTAGTCACACAGTGAGACGTTTGCGTAGTTACAAAGTGAGACGTTTGTGTAGTTACACAATGAGACGTTTGTGTAGTTACACAGTGAGACGTTTGTGTAGTTACACAGTGAGACGTTTGTGTAGTTACACAGTGAGACGTTTGTGTAGTTACACAGTGAGACGTTTGTGTAGTTACACCGTGAGACGTTTGTGTAGTCACACAGTGAAACGTTTGTAGTCACACAGTGAGACGTTTGCGTAGTTACAAAGTGAGACGTTTGTGTAGTTACACAATGAGACGTTTGTGTAGTTACACAGTGAGACGTTTGTGTAGTTACACAATGAGACGTTTATGTAGTCACACAGTGAGACGTTTGTGTAGTTACACAGTGAGACGTTTGTGTAGTTACACAGTGAGACGTTTGTGTAGTTACACAGTGAGACGTTTGTGTAGTTACACCGTGAGACGTTTGTGTAGTCACACAGTGAGACGTTTATGTAGTCACACAGTGAGACGTTTGTGTAGTCACACAGTGAGACGTTTATGTAGTCACACAATGAGACGTTTGTGTAGTTACAAAGTGAGACGTTTGTGTAGTTACACAGTGAGACGTTTATGTAGTCACACAGTGAGACGTTTGTGTAGTTACACAGTGAGACGTTTGTGTAGTCACACAGTGAGACGTTTGTGTAGTTACAAAGTGAGACGTTTGTAGTCACACAGTGAGCATTTGTGTAGTTACACAGTGAGACGTGTAGTTACAAAGTGAGACGTTTGTGTAGTGTGTAGTCACACAGTAAGACGTTTGTGTAGTTACACAGTGAGACGTGTAGTTACACAGGGAGAGTTTGTGTAGTTACACAGTGAGACGTTTGTGTAGTTACACAGTGAGACGTTTGTGTAGTTACACAGTGAGACGTTTGTGTAGTCACACAGTGAGACGTTTATGTAGTCACACAATGAGACGTTTGTGTAGTTACAAAGTGAGACGTTTGTGTAGTTACACAGTGAGACGTTTATGTAGTCACACAGTGAGACGTTTGTGTAGTTACAAAGTGAGACGTTTGTAGTCACACAGTGAGACGTTTGTGTAGTTACAAAGTGAGACGTTTGTAGTCACACAGTGAGACGTTTGTAGTCACACAGTGAGACGTTTGTGTAGTTACACAGTGAGACGTTTGTGTAGTCACACAGTGAGACGTTTGTGTAGTTACAAAGTGAGACGTTTGTAGTCACACAGTGAGCATTTGTGTAGTTACACAGTGAGACGTTTGTGTAGTTACAAAGTGAGACGTTTGTGTAGTTACAAAGTGAGACGTCTGTGTAGTCACACAGTAAGACGTTTGTGTAGTTACACAGTGAGACGTGTAGTTACACAGGGAGAGTTTGTGTAGTTACACAGTGAGACGTTTGTGTAGTTACACAGTGAGACGTGTAGTTACACAGGGAGACGTTTGTGTAGTTACACAGTGAGACTTTTCTTTTGTAATGTTTTACTCTAAGACGTCTATATATAAAACAGATACCAGTTTACCGGAATACAGTATTGTTGTATATGCAATCTCCTTTTTGACAGGCAGTTGATGAACTGAGATATTACTTACTGCACCTATCAAATTCAATTTGTACTATTCCCGCGTGTGTTCGTTATTTCTCCATGTAAACGTTTAATTAGCTGTGTTGTTTCCTGGTTTATTTTCGAACTTTTTGCCTACAAAACGAAAAAGAAAAAAATCATCTTGGTGAAAATTATCACATTCTGATTTTCATAATTAAATTGAATTATTTACTCTTACCTGGCAAAAGTGTGATTTTTTTGTATATTTCATTTTTTTTTTTTTTTGCGCGGGCATCCTTGATCAAATTGTATCGTTAAATTTGCTTGAAGCAAGACAAGAGAATGTGGTTTTGACATACCGCCGAATGATTTAACATGGGCATCTTTCTCCCTAACTAGATTTTACAAAAAACAGAGAGGGGCCGATCTTGTGGAGTTGCCAAAAAACAAATTTTCGTGCAAAAGATCTTTAATCTGATTGCGAATTATCCATTTTAGCCAAATTTATATTGACAATACTTCACAACATATTCCGCCCTGTCCAATGTTACATACTAAAAATTGAAAACAGTGCTTCCAGTCTATGCAGAAAAACCGACTCAACATCTGAAGTGACACATTATATTCCTTAACGTTGTTATGCTGTTTTTTCTCCCTTAGGAAACACAAGGAATTTTACTTCAATTCTCGTCTTCCTCTCTTGGAGTGATGCCAGTAGTAATTGCATTTTTCTGTCTATCAGAGTTGATTGTAGGTTTGCATGCATGTTTCATTGGTGCTTTTCAAGCTTTTTCTTGAGAAAGATGTTGAGTTGTTCTCTGTCAGAAGTGTTCTACAGGGGTGATGTATCATTCTTGTCCTTAACTGGTAGTTTAAGAAAGGCATAAAGTTGCTAGGTAATGGCCGGGATAGGACCTTGGGTATGCAGATACATTCAAAAATCATTTTAAATGGTTTAATGCCCTCATTCATCAAATTTTATCGTTACTATTTCGCATCACTCTGAAAGAAAAAGATAGGAATAGTGTGTTCAAGCTCACACAATGTATTGAGACATGCATGGTAACTCGGGTTGTGATGAAATGTCCTTACTACATAGATACTCCGTTCATCTTGTTGATGCTGTAGTTGTAAAGTTTTCTTATCTTAAATCCATGTGGTTAATTTTTAAACAGAAGCCAAGACTTTGTTACAATTCCATTGGAGTGTCTGTAATTTGTTACACAAAGACAGGGAGATACGGCCTGCCTTGTAGCAGCAGCTGTTTTTAAAGGCATTCAGAAATAAAAACTACCTACACTTTAAAACAAGTAAAATTGATGGCACGATGTTTAAAGTAGCCAGGGGTTTTGTGTATCTTGCCCGTGGCGGTATAAATTGGTTCAGGAAATGGAATTTCACATATAGGGGAATTGAATTTGAGCTCCGTGCATGTACACCACGACTTTCAATAAGATGAATCCTGTGGGATGATGTTACAGGTCTGAATAGCCAAGTAATACACTCAGTAAAGAGGGACCCGTGTCACTACTGTAATATAACGTTATACCTACACAGTGAGAGGGACCCATGTCACTGCTGTAATATAACGTTATACATACACAGTAAGAGGGGCCCGTGTCACTGCTGTAATATAACGTTATACATACACAGTAAGAGGGGCCCGTGTCACTGCTGTAATATAACACTATGCCTACACAGTAAGAGGGACCCGTGTCACTGCTGTAATATAACACTATGCCTACACAGTAAGAGGGGCCCGTGTCACTGCTGTAATATAACACTATGCCTACACAGTAAGAGGGACCCGTGTCACTGCTGTAATATAACGTTATACCTACACAGTAAGAGGGACCCGTGTCATTGCTGTAATATAACGCTATACTAACACAGTGAGAGGGACCCATGTCACTGCTGTAATATAACGTTATACATACACAGTAAGAGGGACCCGTGTCACTGCTGTAATATAACGTTATACTAACACAGTGAGAGGGACCCATGTCACTGCTGTAATATAACGCTATACTAACACAGTAAGAGGGACACGTGTCACTGCTGTAATATAACGCTATACTAACACAGTATGAGGGACCCGTGTCACTTCTGTAATATAACGCTATACTAACACAGTGAGAGGGACCCGTGTCACTGCTGTAATATAACGTTATACTAACACAGTAAGAGGGACACGTGTCACTGCTGTAATATAACGCTATACTAACACAGTGAGAGGGACCCGTGTCACTGCTGTAATATAACGTTATACATACACAGTAAGAGGGACCCGTGTCATTGCTGTAATATAACGCTATACTAACACAGTGAGAGGGACCCGTGTCACTGCTGTAATATAACGTTATACATACTCAGTAAAGAGGGACCCGTGTCACTGCTGTAATATAACGTTATAGTAACACAGTGAGAGGGACCCGTGTCACTGCTGTAATATAACGTTATACATACACAGTAAGAGGGACCCGTGTCACTGCTGTAATATAACGCTATACTAACACAGTAAGAGGGGCCCGTCTCACTGCTGTAATATAACACTATGCCTACACAGTAAGAGGGAAATGATTTTTTTAAAAATAGGTTCAGATGTAGGATGAACTAGTTTTTGTGTTTTGTAAACACAGCGCTGTATAGCAAACTTCGAAACTGTGTATTAAATGTTGAAATGGTAGGAACTGAATTAAATGTTGAAATTTTAGGAAATGTTGATTAAATGTTGAAATTGTAGGAAATGTGGATTAAAAGATAGAGAAGATGGATCACCTTTAGATGTTATATAGAGGAGAAGGATTAAATATAGATTTTGTTGATAAAGTATAGAAGTTCAGCATACCAAACATTTATGTGGTTGGCAAGGTTTTCTTTTTGATTGTGGTTTGCACTATACATAACTCCTATTTTAGATGTGGTTCTTGGATTTTTTTTCTTAATGTGGAATGTACTTTAACGTGTCGACTAAGTATGGAATGATTGCTTATTAGCGTAGCCCAGTGGCTTCCAGAGGTCTGTCTACCACTTGATGTACTGCTTCATTAGACACTACACTAACTACAGTATAATTAGTGTTTTACATGATAAGAGTCTCCTCCGCAGCAGGCTGCCTGCCAGAATCCCCACCACCGCTTTCCTCTTGACCATGTCCCCGTGCTCTGTGAGATCGTTCACATCGCTTGGTACCGTTGTAAGCTAGATAGTTGGCCAACACTTCAGCATTAAACTTTACTCCTACACGAACCACTACAATATATAGCGTGCAGTAATGTTTTCTTGTTTTCTTGTTTTTCAGAAAAACGTGGTGAAGAAGCAATGCACTCACAACATTGGTCGGGCTCGAGTTGTGAAAATAAAGGTAGGTGTTGACAGTCAGTAAGCCAATAGTCGGGTTCACGAGTACTTTACCCACAGTATGGCTGGTCGCTGAAATTCTCTGAAAATACAAAACAGCTTAATCGTACTAAAATACCAATCTTTTTTGTTCAAATGGATTAAATGACAAGACGAAGTTACATTACTGGTAGAAATATCACAGCTTTAATGGGATATTATTGCTAATAACGAGGATATGTGTGTGGTAGTAAACTGAAGAATGTCCGGTGTATGTTTACTAACACCATGTCAAATACATCACTGCGAAATTTTGTGTCAACAACTGTAAAATATTGATAGATGTTTCTGCTTACAGCGCTAAGTTTATGAAACTAATCACTGCGTGTGGATTGAAAGACATTCTAACGTGACAGGTTTAGTTCTAACACCACCGAGATAATCCTCAGACCGATTCTGAAAAATAACAGTAGCATTCTGTAGGTAATGGGGTGATCCTGGATGGTGGAGTGTTATAGGTATGGTATGTTTGTTGTTCTAGGTTGTTTCTTGTTTAGACAATAAACATCAGAGTTGGTGCTTATTTCTCAATAAAGACTGACAATTGCTCTGCGGTGTTTCGAGGCCCCTTACATCTTGTTATTGTTTCTCATCAGAAGGAAATCAAACTTGCACCAATAACATGGCATCCATTAGCACGGGAAGTAATGCTGATCTATCTTGTATCTAATGAAACCATTCCTGATTTATCGTGTGACGACACTTTAGATCAAACCCATCAGCAGTCTTGACGATAACCGATGTTTTCACAATTTGCTTGAAAATAATTTCAAGCAACATACATTTTGTCGCTTTATGATAAAAAATAGAAAAGTTAACGCATTGACTGTACTTGACATGTCGATGTAGGCAGCTTCGTCTCAATCCTTAAAAATCAATGTTTTTAAACTTGTATTGCCGTCGATTCTGTTGTCTCGTTTCTGTTGGACACAGATATACGTTAGAATTAAGGATACCAGATTAATCGTTACTTTTTTGTACTCTCTCAGCTTCCTTATAGTATATATCTAATTGTACACTAGTAGTCCCCTATTCTTATTTCACTTTGGAACATTTTCATATTTAATGTGCTAAACCATTTTACTTCCAAGCAATTGGTCTTAAGGTAGTGAATACTTTGAGGAATTATGAGAAATTAATTAATACTCCCTACATACAAAAACAAAACCATGTGTATTTTACCTTCCCCGTACTAATACAAAATTCCCCGGGCGATAGTTGTACCCATCCTTGATTATAACAATTGTACCCGAGCCTAAAGTTGTACTCAGCCTGTCTATAACAATTGTACCCGAGTCTATAGTTGTACCCAGCCTGTCTATAACAATTGTACCCGAGTCTATAGTTGTACCCAGTCTGTCTATAACAATTGTACCCGAACCTATAGTTGTAACCAGCCTGTCTATAACAATTGTACCCGAACCTATAGTTGTAACCAGCCTGTCTATAACAATTGTACCCGAACCTATAGTTGTACCCAGCCTGTCTATAACAATTGTACCCGACAGAGTTCCCTAAATATTATCTGTAGCTTCATGTACACTTTTTGATATGTCATTACCGTTGATATCTATAATCACACACATTAACATCACCTCTGCACAATCACTGGATTCCTTAAGGTTCCTTGGGTTGATAAATTAGTGTGGGACGCGGTTTTAAAGAGTTAATCTTTGTAAAAGACATTTAAATAATAAATGGGTGACCTTGGTGTTATTGCAGTTCGACAGGAAAATTTTCTTTAATTCTGTCAACAAATTGTCAATTACGGCCTGCACCGAAGGCATGTTTAGTGTATCCCGAGGTGTTAACGTCAATCTACGGTTTGTTCTGGAACGACATTGTAACAAAATATTAGTACCGGCACCATCACGTTGTCAGCTCGTGCGTGGCGTGTCTGATGACAGAAACTTGGAGAGAACCGTGTAACATTGATTTTGAAATTAGATATAAACCACTGTGACTCGTGGTATTACTAATTAAGAAATATATCATTGATAACATAAAGCTATTATTTTATTGTGATTATTTTTTGTGAGGAACTGTAGAATTTAGACCTGTATTCGGATTATACACTGACCCAAAATGTAGACCAGACAAGTTCGGGAAATGTCAAAGATATTCTCTTTAATTATCTTTTATATCTCTAAACTCATAAAACTATAGCGTATATGAACCTACAGTAACATACTTTAATGTAGTAATTATTATTAATTGAATACAATACAGATATATATGTTTATTATACATGATAAATCACATAAAACCCATAAAATAGTTAACACAGGAAAATAATTTTCGAAAGAAATAAATAAAACGAAATTGGTTATAAGCTTAAAATAATCATAAAAAATGTTATCTTGTCTCATTAATTGTTGTGTTACTCATGTGACTAGGATGGTCACGCATGAATGATCTCTCCCCCTACTGGTGAGAACTCGGACGTTACGCAGGCACATCTGTATCACCGCTTATAGATTATCCTAGACTCCAAGATAGATGGGCCCGGTGCACATCCACTGTTAGATTGATGAGCGTTATCAAACGTTTCCTCGCGGCTTGTGAAGAGGAGTGGGGCACCCTGCACCAGTCTCTATAGAAGAATTCCAGCATTCTGATCAGGGTAGAAATTAGTAGGATTAGGGGGTAACTAGTGTTTGATACCACTTTATTCATGTTAAACTTGTCATGTTAGTGTCTTGCTGGTAGTTAGAAAGGGCCACGTCACCCAGAGCTGTAAAGAATGATTACTCTTTGTCGTGAAATAAATTCTATTCAGGCCCTTGAAAGAAACATTATCACGCTTAAAAACACCTCTTCAATCGGTGCTCATTCAGGATCTTAGGGTGTTTTACCTCTATTTTTATAACAGGAAAGGATACAGAATACGAGACCCTTAGAAATACCCTTAGATATTCTATGGACATCCTAACGGTATGTGTTTTCCGTGTGATGTTTGATGGTACTTGTAGAAGTCCTAAGCTGGTACAACAATTACCCAAGGTTTGTGTACCATCAGTACAACAATTACCCAAGGTTTGTGTACCACCAGTACAACAATTACCCAAGGTTTGTGTAACAGCTGGTACAACAACTACCCAAGGTTTGTGTACCATCAGTACAACAATTACCCAAGGTTTGTGTACCAGCTGGTACAACAGCTACCCAAGTTTTGTGTAACAGCTGGTACAACAATTACCCAAGGTTTGTGTACCGCCAGTACAACAACTACCTAGGGTTTGTGTACCAGATAGTACAAAAAGTACCCAAGGTTTGTGTACCGCCAGTACAACAACTACCTAGGGTTTGTGTACCAGATAGTACAAAAAGTACCCAAGGTTTGTGTACCACCAGTACGAAAACTACCCAGGGTTTGGGTACCAGCTGTACAACTACATTAGCATGTTAAAGTCCTTCTCTCGTATTTACTGTATAACTCTTGTGTCGTTAATCGCACTACATATCAAAAGTGATAAGCCCAGTAGCGTTATATAGACCTAAACAGATTTAATTTGTGTACCCATTTTATCTGGGAAAGTTGGGAAAATGTGGAACTTATTGTAACAGGTATCAAGATTAGTGTTGAAAAATGCTGAAGGTTGCTTAGTATTCACTTACTAATTAACAAAGAAATATTCCTGCTTTGTCTCATTCTAAACATGCCATACCAAAGTAACCCGTTGTCTAAAAATACCTAAATTCTACCTCGAGGAAGCACAGACTAATGAGGTTGTACATGCAGCTGACATTTCATATTTCCTGGAGACATTTTTTCTCTATGAAATGAGGTCTTAATGTTGTACGCTATGCAGTTGCCATTCCACTTCCAGTTTGAAATTCCCCTAGGTTACATTGACTTTTTCCTACCCTCCACATCTTCACTTTTGATGTATACAGGAAGCTTTCCTCTAAATTGCTTTTGACAGGAATGTCACATTTCCTTTTCCTCAATGCGGAGACTTCCTTGGAGAACTAACGTATACAGTCAACATAAACGTAAAGTATCTTTCGCTGTAATATGGAGCTTCTTTAGGGAGTTATATCACTTATAATTAAGGATACCCTCGACAAACCGTGTCACTTTCCTTTCTTTGTGTAGATTATACCTCCAGCCTTCTTCATACTGCTGTCATTGAACTCGCTAATTTGGTCGCAATGTCCCTGGAGTGTAAGCTAGCAGCGCCATTGTTTAAAAGCTTTGCCAAATTGTAGCTGAGCGATGGAACTCCGCCACAAATGGATACAGACACTATATCTATGTGTATATAATGGATGTGCTGGAGTATTCCTCGTTAAAACCTTCACAGTTAACAAAATAACAAGCAATTTATCATCAAAAGGTTTACTTGTATATTTTTTTATTAGATTCTAGCTGTGTTTTAGAACTTTCCCACACTCTCAATCAGACAGGCTTTCAAGTCTCGATGTTGTGTCTGTCGGTGATTTCTACCAATGATAATTATTAGAATTTTATCAAAGAATCTTGAAATCATAAATGAGTGATTCTGCCGTTCTTTTCACCGAAAGCATATTGAAGACATTGTCTTGGCATCGTTTGTCTAAACAGCATTGGAAGCACGAGTTCTGTTACTTAATTATCCGGCCCCTTTGTAGACTTCCAGTGCAATGATTGGAGTCATGTATACATTCTATTATAAAGAGTTATGACAAATTTCTCAAGGATTTCCGAATTTCGTTTCATCAGATTGCTGGCAGAGGGTGCTCAAAGTTATGAGGAAGGAAGAAACAAAAAAAGATAGAAGAAAGGACATTTATTTAAGGAAATAATGGAAGCTTAGATCGTTTCAAAGAAAAACGGAAAGTAATTTGTGAGGTGCAGGGCTAGGGGAGGAAGCCCGTTTTCTGAGAACATTGGCAGGGCTCCATAGCTACAGATGGAATCAAATTTGATTTTTTTCTCTGCGTGTCGGTTTATCTCTTACGCTGCATGTCAGCATGCGTAAA